CGAACGTTAACTTCAACAATACGTCTCTCTCTGACTGCAGTTCAATTACTCATTACCTACACACACATTACATTATTCCGACACGTTGTCACCCTCTTTTATATACCAGCCTACCCTATATCTAGTAAATACTAGAGCATTCGCCAAGGTACAGGATAGTTCTAGAAACGTGGCGTCACAGTAGTCATGTGACTCGCTGACGCAACACTATTATATCCACCACCCCTCGAAAAAGTACAAATTTAAACGTAAAATAATCTCTATAATATCGTTATTGCTCAAACAAACCATAATTTATGTATCCTTCAATTTTGTTTGGTTACAGAGCTATCGAATAGAAAATCAGACCACACCTGCCATACCCACCCGTCACATCTTCTCTTTCACAATTCGTTGACAGTTCTTTCTTACGTTTTATTATATATTGCATATAACCAATAGAAAGTCAAGGTTATCATCTATAAAATGATGTATGGTATACGTTGAGTTCTGAACAGAATATCGTTAATTTTACTCACAGTACAAGATTCGTTCCCGTGGGAAAGTTAACAACTAGCTTGGATGAATTTGTAATAGCTCTTGTCGCACAGTTATAAAGCTAGAAAAAAAAATTGAGAGTTGTGGGAATTTGTTTACTTTTTACATGTTATTAGTCTATATTCTCTGGTGCATTATCTAGTTAAATAAAAATTGAGATATGATGGAGAAAATAACAGATAAACTATAAGGTTTTACGGGGGAAAAACGTTTGAAATGCGTTTAGGAGGTTTTAGGGATTACACAAAAAAATTTGAGATTTTTGAGATGAGGAAAAGTATTTTTAATTTTAATATGAAAATTACTTTGCACACGGATTATTCAAAACAAATACTCAATATATTCGTGGACAAATCTTTATTTTATTCTGGTAAAAATACTTCACAAGAAATATAATTATTTTTGTATGTGAAAGACTTATGATATGAACTTAAAGACTGCCCAATTTTGTGAAGATAATAAATAAATATAATTATTTTTGTATGTGAAAGACTTATGATATGAACTGAAAGACAGCCAAATTTTGTGAAGATATACACACTATATTGAAAGTTAGAAGTATTAAATCTATGAAGACTTTAATCGAATATAAAGACTGTTGAGAGAGTTAAGTTGTGTTCACTTCATTTTATTCCAACATAAAGAGGTTTGAACATTTATTATTTCTTAAATTTTAGTTAGACTCTATAGAATATGCCACCCGGCAACACTTCAATTTAAAATCAAAAACTCCATTCTTCACAAAGTTATATTACAAATTGCCTTCTTAGTTGGAGAGAAAAAAAAACATTTAGTTGAATGAAGACAAAGAAAAGGCAACTACCAATAATAAAAAGCCATTTTAAATTGTCTACGGAACAAGAATAGAGCCTTTTGGAATAAATATTAACGCAGAATGACTTTAGAATTACATACAAGTATTCGAATACCGTTAAAAGTAACCTAATTTCAAGTAATATAACGCATAAAGATAAAAAGCAAGGTGTTTATAAAACACCATACCAATCCTGTAAGAAAGATTTTGTAGGTAGAAGTGGAAAAAGTGTTAACATAAATAAAGACAATAATATGAGTACAAAAATAATGTCATTTATCTTCATGTGAGAAATTCTGGCTATCAGATCGATTGCAAATCCAAAAGAATTTAAAACAAAATGGATGAATACATATAAAGAATAATCGTCGAAAGATCTTAGCCAAAAGCCTTCCTAATTGCAACATCTTCCAAGTTAAAAACTTGGAGACTACCTATATTCTTAAGGGAATTCAAAGTTTTAGGTTCAAGTAATTGTCATTGACCATTTTTATTGCCAGAAGACAACGTGAGACTGTAGAGCATATATGAATCTGCCGACGCTAATTTCTATAATATCAAGACTCCTTACAGTTTATTCCGTTAAATGTGTTTTTTCACCAACTTTCTATTGTGATATCTTTAAATTATTTCCTTGAAATAGGTGTTACTCTTAAATGATGATTAATCAAGTATGTTGAATTAGAAAGCTAAAACTTAGATGTAACAGTATATTTTAATATGGCAACAAACGATTTCTGTTTTTGTTTATTCTTGTTTCTTTGAATGTCTTGCCCGTCAGTTTACGCTCATCATATGATATCTTACCCTTAAGGAAAAAGCTAGTCTACCTATTGAGTTCTGAAACTTCTAAAGTCAGAAAAACTTTGTATATAAAAATAACGCTATATGTAAGATATAATTTCGATAATCATTAACAAGTTTACATTTTCTACTGATTGACAAAAGTAAATTATCACGTAATACTATTATATACTTTGTTAATGTGCTGTAAATAAGGTCTTCTTGGATTATTTTCTTTTGTCCTAATTTATATTTACTTCTAGAGAAAACTTCAATACAATAAAACATAGAAATTAGTAATATAGAATTGGTGTTTTTTGTCACCTGGTATTGATCAAACCAGAGCTAATCCAGTCGCAGCAACCAATATACTATTGACTTTGTGAAACCTGGTATCTAGCTGAAAGTCAAACACAGACGGAAAGGACCGTCAGATATTGTTAAACATACCCATACTTAATCGCATAGTGTGTATAGCATTTCCAGTTGCATTATCCTTTACACAATACATCTCTTCCTAATTCCTATAAGAAAATAATTTTCACATATAGTAAACATTTTAAAACTACCACATTATAACAAATTAACTTTGTAAATCCATTAATAAATAACACTTCACGGAAATTGTTAATATACGATTGACTACAAAAAAATCTGCCTCTTACAGAAATTAAAGTAATATTTAGATGAAATTATTCATGACTAATGTATAATAGTGACTAGCCCTTTATTAATAAATACTATTTCTTTGTTCATTCACTATTTTTCTTCAAAATCGCACCCCAGTGGCACAGCGGTATGTCTGCAGACTTACAACGCTAGAAACTGGGTTTCGATACCCGTGGTGGGCAGAGCACAGATAGCCCATTGTGTAGCTTTTTGTTTAACTTCAAACAAACAGTCTTCGAAATCACTTTCCAAGAAAACGTTAATAATTGAAATATACCATTTATGCATTGACTGAGTGTTTAATATACAGTTTAAACAGTGGAAACTAATGCATAACAAAAAAGGAGATTCATAAAGTCATTAAGGGACTCTGATTACAATGGAAAGTACCCCGAAAAAAACAACGGTTTCGTGAAAGTCATGATCATATTCATTTAAATCACTTCCTGTGTGTTTCCATATGATCAGTACTGTGTATGTGTACCACGAGACAGAATGGCACTTTGATAATTCCACTAATTAACACTGTACTTGTTGCTGTGAGAGCTGGATCCATGTTTGAATAAGAGCGTCAAGAAGTTCCTATAGCCCACAGCATGTAGCATATTTCAAGCATGCTCAACATGATTCAAACCAGGAGATCTCACTGGACAATCAGTTCTCTCGATTTCTTCGTATTCAAGATAATCGGTGATTATTTTTCCTCGATGTAAATGTAAGGGCCAACTATGGAATAGTACATAATGGTAGTGAGGGTATTGTTTTGGATTACCTTAATGTCTGTTCTCCTTTAATACTGATTCCAGCCCACACTTTGACAGACCATTCTACATATATGTTGTGTTCTGCGACATGCTGACACAAGAAATGTTCACCACGTTGTCTTCACGTCCTGGCATGCCTGTCAATACAATCAAGACAAAATTTGGTTTCGTCATTGTATGTGAATATTTTCCGCCTCAAGTGATATCTTGTCCATCTCAAGTGTTTATTCCTAGTTGTGTTAAGGTGTCAATGGTAGCCATATTAAGGCTTTTCTAGACATCATGCCAGCCTCGTGAAGCCGCATGTGTAAAAAGTATAAGTCATGTTCCATTTAGTAAGTCATTTCTCAGTTGGGTAGCTTGGGCAGCTGGTCATTACTATGGCTAAATTTGAATATGTTGATCTCATTCAGGGTCTGTGATCTTTCTGTACCCTCCAACATGTTGTCTCTTGACTTTGCTACTGGTATGGACTCCACACACACAGGAGACCAATCTCTGGGACAACATACAATAACTGAGTGACAAGATGGATGAGCTTTACATTTTCAAGTACCTCTCTACTGATGTTGAGTTTATCATTACTTAACCGATGTACTATTTGTATTTGAGACATTACACTTCTAACACTAAATTGTATGGATAGGCTAATATGCTTTTCAAATTTTTGTTTCAAAAAAAAAAATTACATTTTATGCTAGCAGGTGAAATGATTAATTGAACACCAGTTGAAATGACAGACAGGTATTTAATTGAAATGTTACTGATTTTGGTTTAAGCTGAAAGATTGATCCTAAATCGAGATTGAGTGGTAACTTTGTAATATTTTTGTGTGTGTATGTGAAGTGGGTTTAAATTTTTTGTCTACTTATCTCATTCAATAAATACAGGTATCATTAAGATATATAAGGAAATTCAATATTCTGGTTTATAACAAATATTCTGATTTTTTAAGTGGGAAAAAACGGAACGGAAGAGATCTGTTATTTCAACGGCCGTCTAATAAAGTCATATTCTAGGATATCAACCATGGAAACTATTGAAAAAAAGAAGATTTGGAAATTTCCTGTGAACTATTAAAGAACCGCAGTCGAAGTACATCGTTCTGGAAGTGATTTCACTTAAGTGAAATCAGTAAACACGTTATTTCTCTCTCTCTCTCTTTATATCTCTCTTTTTTTAAGCTGCAAAATTAAAATTTTAATGCCTTTGAAATAAATACAAAACAATAACAATGTACTGGACAGAATATGCGAAATAAATGTTTTATTTGGAAAAGTGTGTATTATAGTGGTCATAACCAAGTCACTTGTGCGTTGTTTTTTACATCCATTGGTCTCCTGATAACGATACCTCGAGGAATATTGTCCTCTGCCAAAGACTGAGAAGCGTATTGAACGTGGTGTAACATGATTATTTATTTAATTTTAGCTGTAACGATTAAAATTTCATACATTCATATCCCCAAAAAATAGTATGTTTTGTTAAAATAGATGTTCTAGAGGTTATAATAAGTTGAAAATCGACGTAAGCTATCGAATAAAAAAGTCTATTATTGATGTTTTAGTTATGCCTTATTTAGATTACAGTATTTTGTCTGAGTAGAAGATCACATATTATGCACGTAGTCAAGTATAATTACTGTTTAATAATGGTAATATAAAGTTAAGTAAAAACAAAATTAACGCTGGACAAAATCGTAATAATGTAATTGACAATTCAGAAATAATTAGGTTGATAGGTTAGCCCCAAACCAAAAATTCAAAAAAAACATTCAATTTAAAACAAAAACAAATGAAAAACAATAAATTAAAATTAGAAAATCTCATAATAGCAGAAATAAAACTTAAAGTTGACAATCTTTGTATTTATATATATTTTGTTATATGATTCTAATCAAAGATTCCCATGTGATGAGGCAAGGCAAATCTAGCAAAAATAGTAAGTTTTGAAAATATTTACGTGCTTATGCGTAAATAAAAAATACTATTTAGTTAGACAAGTTCTTCCGATAAGTTAATCAGTTTCTACTACATAATACTGTATGACACAAGAAAGTGTAGCAGAAGCTCAAATGTGCTTCGTTTCCATTAAAATTTTACCTAAGTGTCGCAGTTTCGTTGCAGTAACCATAAATGATCCCTACTATTTGCCTGTGGGACAGCGATAAGTTTCTGGACTTACAACGCTATTTCGCCGAGTTTTAATTTTGTTTTTCACTTAGTTTGATTATATTATTATTCGAAAATGATACTTGTCCACGTGGATAATATGTGCCATTATGTTTAAAATTATAATTTTAAAACGTTCTCCTTTAATTGAAATCATTTGTTCTTCTTACTGCTCAGCCAAAAATCTGTGTCTTGAAAAATACGTTAACTGAAATTTCGGTAATAACCTGTTTTATTCTCAACCTTATGATTTTTTTTCTTTCAAATTAATTTCTCTAGATTTCACTATGTCATATCAAATCGAATACTTGTTCAAGAGATTAGTTTGTTTTTACTTACTGAACGACTTTTATATTCTATATTCGATTAAAACTAATGTATATTCAACTCTTTGGAAGTGAAATCATTAGGAATTTTGAGGCCTAATCATAATATTTGTTTTTTAACTATTTCCGACATCTGAAACAAGAACCACACTGTTTTGTTTATTATATTAATAAGGCCTTTGGTTTAATTTCCTTAATAGTATTAGTGCTCTAACCTTTCCCAGTTATGTTTATAGTTGCAACAAGTCATAGGAGTTTTTTAACAACGGCCAAGTCAAAGAATCTTTTCCTACAATTACGGAGACCTACCGTAGTAAATATTCCAGCTAACAGTCTAGGTAGCATGGCGCCGTCACACAAATTTCGAATCATCCACCACAGGGATGCGATCGGTCGAAGGCAAGCTACTCCTATTTCCATATAAATATTTGTATATATATGTTATTTAGTTGTTTTACTAATACATTTATTATAATGCATTCAATTATTTAATATTACTATTACGTATTATTTGTACATCAAATTTTCAATGTATATAGGAAGGGTTTTTGCTTTTAATATAGAGAAGTAGAGATCAATACTGCTTATCGTTGCCCCATACAATAGTAAAAGGGAAAACAAGCGCAACCCAAGCTTAGAATCAACAGCCTGGTATATAATTGTGAACATTAAAAAGAATATCAATACTTCCAACTAAGCAAGCCACAAGCCTTCCATCATTAGAATTCCACATAATATAATCCAATATGTTTCATTATAATATAATTCAACCTAATTTGAACACCGTAAAAACGTATACGTGTATAGCCCAATATGTACCTTGCGCTAAAAGAAACAAACAAATACAGTGAAGCTAGGTACTAGGCCCAACATCAATCAGGCCCATTTGCTTTTTCATTCTGCCGTCCCACGAGACGCCAGTGTCCCAGTAGTCAATTAACATGCCTATATAACCATAGAAGAGGTCTACTGTTTACCATCTGCTCAACACTAAAGCAACAGGACAAACAAACGAAAGCCTGATTTATTATAAAATTGTAAGGTCTAAGTAACTTGACCGAAGTTGACTATTGTTTTTTAAATAACTTCCATTAAATATTTTTTTATTAATATTTATCCATGCTTAGCTTTTTAAAGGCTACATTTTGCAAGCTCGAACAAAGTGGAATTAAAAGTTTCCCTTTGCTACAAAGATAAATTAAGTGTGTTACCTATTAGAATTTCAAATGGTTTGAAATTGAGTTAAATGATAATTTAAATTTAATAGTTAAATTGTACTATGGATTTACCATTTAAATATATGCCGATATATAGTCAGTTTATGTTATTTGCCAACAAAATTGATACACAGTTTTCTTTTTTAACAGAAACATATTTTAATATACACACAACAATACAATTTACAATAACAATTATTACAAATAGTTATTACACACAATGCTTTATAAACAAAAGTTTCACAAACTTACAAGTAATATAAAGTCTTCCTTTGCGTCTGGAACTTCTTCGTTATTTTATCGAGGGTACACGATAAGCGAGTTAATTACGAGTTGACGTAGGTACAACTCGCTTAATGGGAAGCTAGCTAGCTTTGTCCTTCGTTATTCACCAGCCACACGCGCCCGAGTTTTCCACGATGAATTTATATAATGTTTTAGTAAAAATACTAATGTCCGATGAGAATCCACTGAAGTTAAACGATTTGTAATGTTCGAACTTTGTAAAGGTTCCTGGTCAAATATCTGATGTTTTCCGATTGATAAGCGTTATAACAATCACAGTTATAGCTTCCGAAGTTTATAGCACCCTGACTATAGCAAACTAATAATAGATACTCTCTTTTGGCGCGGCGCGTTGGTTATATTTATAGGCGTGGGGAGGCGTTCTAGAAATTTCAGTTTTACGTAACACTACAAATTTAACCGTTTACGTACACACATATATTGTTGATTCTTATTCTGGAGAATCTTCTACAACTTTGGAGAAAAGGCGGGAGTTTCGCAATACATATCTAACACTAC